GGTATTTGGGGGGAAGAGATGAAGATTGAGTGGGAAGCGATCAAAATAGAAAATTGATGGGTTGAAAAATGGGTGTTTTGGAGAAGAGATGAAGATTGAATGGGAAAAGGTCAAAACGGGGAATTGTTGGGTGGGAAAATGAGTGTTTTGGTGAAGAGATGGACATTGAGTGGGAAAAAGGTCAAAACAGGGAATTGATGGGTGGAAAAATGAGTGTTTTTGAGAAGAGATGGAAGGTTGAGTGGAAAAGGTTAAAATAGGGAATTGATGAGTAGAAAAATGAGTATTTGGGGGGAAGAGATGGAAGGTGGAGTAGGAAAAGGTTAAAATGAGGAATTGTTGGGTGGAAAAATGAGTGTTTTGGGGGAAGAGATGGAAGGTTGAGTGGGAAACGATCAAAATAGAAAATTGATGGGTTGAAAAATGAGTGTTTTTGAGAAGAGATGGAAGGTGGAGTGGGAAAAGGTGAAAATAGGGAATTGATGAGTAGAAAAATGAGTTTTTCAGGGGAAGAGATGGAAGGTTGAGTGGAAAAGGTCAAAACGAGGAATTGTTGGGTGGAAAAATGAGTGTTTTTGGGGAAGAGATGGGAGGTTGAGTGGAAAAATGTGAAAATAGGGAATTGATGAGTAGAAAAATGAGAAAATGAGTATTTTGGGGGAAGAGATGGAAGGTTGAGTGGTAAAAGGTCAAAATGGGGAATTGATGGGTGGAAAAAAGAGTGTTTTTGAGAAGAGATGAAATATTAAGTGGGAAAAGGTGAAAATGGGGAATTGTTGGGTGGGAAAATGGGTATTTTGAGGGAAGAGATCAAGATTGAGTGGGAAGCGATCAAAATAGGGAATTGATGTGTGGAAAAATGGGTGTTTTGGGGAAGAGATGAAGATTGAGTGGGAAAGGGTCAAAACAGGGAATTGTTGGCTGGGAAAATGAGTGTTTTGGTGAAGAGATGGACATTGAGTGGGAAAAGGTTAAAATAGGGAATTGATGAGTAGAAAAAGGAGTATTTTGGGGGAAGAGATGGAAGGTTGAGTGGGAAAAGGTCAAAATGGGGAATTGTTGGGTAGAAAAATGAATATTTTGGGGGGGAAAGATGAAGATTGAGTGGGAAACGATTAAAATAGGGAATCGATGGGTGGAAAAATGAGTGTTTTTGAGAAGAGATGAAATATTAAGTGGGAAAAGGTGAAAATGGGGAATTACTGGGTGGAAAAATGAGGTTTTTTGTGAAGGATGGAAGGTTGAGTGGGAAAAGGTCAAAATGAGGAATTGTTGGGTGGAAAAATGAGTGTTTTTGGGGAAGAGATGGAACATTGAGTAGGAAAATGTGAAAATAGGGAATTGATGAGTAGAAAAAGGAGTATTTTGGGGGAAGAGATGGAAGGTTGAATGGGAAAAGGTCAAAATAGGGAATTGTTGGGTAGAAAAATGAATATTTTGGGGAAGAGATGAAGATTGAGTGGGAAAAGGTCAAAATAGGGAATTGTTGGGTGGAAAAATGAGTGTTTTTGAGAAGAGATGGAAGGTTGAGTGGGAAAAGGTTAAAATGGGGAATTGATGGGTAGAAAAATGAATATTCTGGGGGAAGAGGTGGAAGGTTGAGTGGGAGAAATTAAATAATTGAATTGTTGGGTGGAAAAATGAGTATTTTGGGGAAAAGGTGGAAGTGGAAAAGGGCAAAATGGGAAACTGATGGGTAGAAAAATGAGTATTTGGGGGAAAGAAATGGGAGGTTGAGTGGGAAAGGTCAAAATGGGAAATTGTTGGGTGGAAAAATGTACATTTTTGAGAAGAGATGGAAGGTTGAGTGGGAAAAGTTAAAGAATGGAAATGTTGGGTGGGAAAATGGGGATTTTGGAGGAAGAAATGAAAGACTGAGTGGGAAGAGGTCAAAATAGGGAAATGTTGGGTGGAAAAAAATGCACATTTTTGACAAGAGATGAAAGATTGAATGAGAAATAGTCAAAATAGGGAATTGTTGGGTAGAAAAAATGTGTATTTTGAGACAAAAGGTGAAAGATTCAGTGAAAAAAAAGTTCAAGATGGGGAATTGTTTGGTAGAAAAATAAGTGTTTTGGGGAAGAGATGAAAGATTGAGTGGGCAAATGTCTAAATATGGAATGGTTCAGTAGGAAAATGTATATTTTTGTGAAGAAATTAAAGACTGAATGAGAAATATTCAAAACAGGGAACTATTTGGTAAAAACAAATGTGTATTTTTGTGGAAAGAGATGAAAGATTGAGTGAGAAAGGTTCAAAACATGGAATCGTTAAATGGAAAAATGAGTATTTTTGAGGAGAGCTGAGAGATTGAGTGGGAAAAGGTCAAAATATGGAATGGAGGCACAGAAAAATACGTATAAGGGAAAAGCTAAAGTATTGTGTCTTGAGGGCTTAAAATGTAGAATCTGTTAGAAAATAAAGAATTAAAGAATAGAATACAATAAAATAAACAAATTTGTTCACAGTTTAATTAATTTAAGTATTAAATAATACAAAAATAAAAATAATAAAGAGTAAAAAGAAAATTGGGTAGAAAAATACGGATAAAAGGAAGGATAGAAGATATTGTCCTGAGGGGTTAAAATGGAGATTTATTAGTTTAAAAAAAAAAAGATGAAAGATAAACTGGTCAAGAGGTTAAAATATAGAATTATTGAATAGAAAAAAAAAAATCTATTTAACAAAAAGAAAATAGATTGTGTGACAAATGGTTGAAAGTCGAAATTTAGGTAGAAAAACGAAAACAATAGGAAAATGAAAGATAGAAAGATTGTATCACGAAAGGTTAAAATGTAGAATTGTTTGGTTAGAATAAAAGTGATTAAAGCTGGTCAGGTCATCAAAATATGGAGTTACTGGGTAGGAAAAAAAGGGTGTGGGTTTTTTTTTTTATTATTTAAAAAAGATAATTTGTGTGACAAGAGGCTGAAATTCAGAATTTAGGTAAAAATATATGTATGTGAAAAGAAAGATATGAGATTGTTTCCTGAGAAGTTAAAAAGTAAAACTATTCTGTATTAAAAAAAAGAGAGAGAGAGAGAGAGAGAGAAAATATAGAATTATTGGATAGAAAAAGAAATTATTTAAGAAAAAGATCGTGTGACAAGAGGTTAAAATACAGAATAATTTGATAGGAAAAAATATATATAGAAAACTGAGTAGATCATGTCCCAAAGCATTGAAATATAGGGTGATTAGATAGGGAAAAGATGCAGAGAAAAGGGAAACAAGGGCGTGAGGAGGTGTCAAAATATCATCAGGCAGAAAAAAATAAATAAATCAATGAAAGATAAATGATTTTTTTTTTTTTTTGTCCCAAGAGGTGAAACGATGGGACCCTGAGGTAGAAAACTGTGGGCAAAAGGAAAGCGAAATACAGCACGACGAGTTTGAAACGTAGAGTTATTGCACAAAAAAAAATGATCACTTCGGGCCAAAAGATTTTTTTTTTTTAATTTTTTAATAATACTTTCACTTTTTTAAAAAAAATATTTACTTTAATATATATATCCTTAACACTTATTTTTTGTCTTTTTGGTTTTTTTTCCTCCCAAGGTCCTTTTGGTCACCCAGCTTGCCCTGGAGTTAGGCAGAGATTACACGTTGGAGTGGAGCTGAACCTGCAGACATTGCTCTTCTGGAACCACACCAATCCCTCACCTCCCCTCCTCACGACCCCAAATCCTCTTCCTGTTCTCATTATCTCGGATTTGTGTAATATATTTTAATTGTGCAAAGTATTTGTGGTTGGTTTCTGGTCTCAGTTTGAGCTCTTGACAGGCCGGCCCTAAAACTGAGTCCTCATTGGATTACCTAGAACCAGACCCCCAAATCTACTGTCTCAAACTGGTCCTGGTTGGGTCACCTAGAACCAAACTGCCATATCTGCTATCTCAAATGGGTCTCCATTGGGTTACCTAGAACCAAACCCCCGTATCTGCTATCTCAGATGGGTCTCCATTGGGTCACCTAGAACCAAACCCCCATATCTGCTATCTCAAATGGGTCTCCATTGGGTTACCTAGAACCAGACCCCCATATCTGCTATCTCAAACTGGTCCTGGTTGGGTCACCTAGAACCAAACTGCCATATCTGCTATCTGAGATGGGTCTCCATTGGGTTACCTAGAACCAAACCCCCATATCTGCTATCTCAGATAGATCTACATTGGGTTGCCTAGAACAAACCCCCTAAATCTGCTGCCTCAAATGGGTCCTGGTTGGGTTACCTAGAACGAAACTGCCATATCTGCTATCTCAGATGGATTCTGATGTTACCTAAAGCCAAACCCCCAAATCTGCTGTCTCAAACTGGTCCTGGTTGGGTCACCTAGAACCAAACCCCCAAATCTGCTATCTCAAATGGGTCTCCATTGGGTTACCTAGAACCAAACCCCCAAATCTGCTATCTCAGATGGGTCTCCATTGGGTTACCTAGAACCAAACCCCCGTATCTGCTATCTCAAATGGGTCTCCATTGGGTTACCTAGAACCAAACCCCCAAATCTGCTATCTCAGATAGATCTACATTGGGTTGCCTAGAACAAACCCCCTAAATCTGCTGCCTCAAATGGGTCTTAGTTGTGTTACCTGGAACCAGGCTGTCAAATCTGCTATCTCAGATGGATTCTGATGTGGTTACCTAAAGCCAAACCCCCAAAATCTGCTGTCTCAAACTGGTCCTGGTTGGGATATCTAGAGCCAAATCCTAAATCTATTTATCTCAAATAGGTCCTGGTTGGGTCACCTAGAACCAAACCCCCATATCTGCTATCTCAAATGGGTCTCCATTGGGTTACCTAGAACCAGACCCCCATATCTGCTATCTCAAACTGGTCCTGGTTGGGTCACCTAGAACCAAACTGCCATATCTGCTATCTGAGATGGGTCTCCATTGGGTTACCTAGAACCAAACCCCCAAATCTGCTATCTCACATGGGTCTCCATTGGGTTACCTAGAACCAAACCCCCATATCTGCTATCTCAGATAGATCTACATTGGGTTGCCTAGAACAAACCCCCTAAATCTGCTGCCTCAAATGGGTCCTGGTTGGGTTACCTAGAACGAAACTGCCATATCTGCTATCTCAGATGGATTCTGATGTTACCTAAAGCCAAACCCCCAAATCTGCTGTCTCAAACTGGTCCTGGTTGGGTCACCTAGAACCAAACCCCCAAATCTGCTATCTCAA